ATCCTTCAAACAGTTGAAATGTTACCTTTCTCTGTAAAGCATTCTTTGACTACCCTGGATAGAGATCCTTCACTAAATGTTTTGTTAAAAGTCCTATTACAGAACTTATAACATTGTATAATCAAAAAGGTCCTCTAAAACCCAAGGGAACATTGAGCAAGAGCAGGAAGAAGCCTTTCATGTTTATACCCATGAAACCTAAAATTCCCAGCTCCTAAAAGAGGCTCATTCATGTTTAGTAATATTGTACTTACTATATGCATTATTGCAACTTTTTTAAAAGTTTTTAAAAAATGAGCTTTTTAAAAAATTAAGGCAGTTACATGTTTACTGTACTACCTAAGTCTATTAATCAGTGTGGCACACACTTTAAAGAAACTACTTTGGATTCCTACTTTCTGGTGTTTAAACCTTTGAAAAACCCCCACCCCTTGTGTGTGAACCAGACTCATAGTTTGCTTTTAACCAATGAAACCTGCAATAAAGGCCTGGTGTACTGATGACATAAATATAGTACTAGTCCATCTTCCTACTCTCTCTACTTGCTGGCTTTGAAGAAGCAAGCTTCCAAGAACCCAAACCACAAGACAATTCTGTCAAACAATTGGAGGCCATCTGAAGATGGATTCTTCCCCATCTGAATCTCTAGATAATGCAATCCTAGCCAACATTTTAAACGGAGTCTTGCAGAGGACTCAGCTATGCTATGCCTAGATCCTTGACCCATAGAAAGAGAAATAAATGTGTGTTGCTTTAAGCAGCTAAATCTGTAGGAAGCTGTTAATAAACATCATAGAACACAAATACAATTGGAATATAAGACATTTCTGAACCCTTTGTTCAAATAAAGGGCTATGTTTTTTCCAATTTCTAAACATATAATGATGGAACACATAATGCAAAATTAAAAGACTAATATTTTAATTAAACTATGTGCTTAGGAATATTTATGTAAGAAGATAAATCTTAGAAACTACATAATGTAGTTCCTACACTTCTCTTTTAACCCTTTAATAAACCCAATTTTAAGTATATCCAGTGTATGGAAGAACATTAAGGTAATTTACCTTTCAAGATGAATAAATAATATGAAAGTGGACATTGAAATAAAAACGTACTTACTGGCTACCAAGCAAAACAATTAATTGGAGAAGAGCAGGGGACTTGCTGGAGACCAGAACTACAGCAGCCAAAAAGCATCTAAGTACCTAGTATTTACAGCATGCAGTTCTAAGATCAGATAGGGTCCATGCAACTATTAACATTCCTCCCTCCAGCTCACCTTCTACCTTGTGGTCAAGGTACTTCCAAAAAATTCCCAAAGCAGAAACTTCTATGACAGAGGTCACACTTTAGCATGAAACATATTTAAAAATACTTGAGATTATAAGTGAGAAACATTAACCACAAAAGTTCCTTTTCAAGACTGGCACGGGTAGCAGTTAGAAGTGTCATTTTTCTTAGGAAGAGGCAATTCATTCCTCTTCTGCCACTCCCTATAAATGGCTTCTATTGACTAAAATAAATTTCAGAAATAGAAACCATATTAACTATGTCATCTATCCCAAATCCAAATATTTTGGCACTTGATATTGCTAAGAAGTGATGACTGAGAACAATTCAATAATTTGAGATAATCTACACCATAAAACCTCATATCCATGTTAAAAATCAGGTGAAGTAAACCTTCTCAAAAATACAGATCTTAAGATATGTAGTTTTAAGAGTATGGCTTTTAAGAGAAAAACCATACTACTTTGACTTGAGGAAACAGGCTTCATAAATAACAGGAGGCACCTGAATTCCAAACAGAATATTGCAAACCACAAACTCAAGACAATTAGACAGTCAAAAGCAACACTGTACTCCTGATTGATTGTCTTCAATTAATTCACTTTACATTCTCACTTCCAGTCTCAGATACATGACATAATTCCATACAATTTCTCTGGAAATAACCTCCACTGACTGCTATATTTTTATAGTCTCATTCAACTTCCCAACCTCACTGCATTAATGAAGGCTACTTTACCACCCATGATAATTGTTTTTATAAACATTCATGACTTAGTGGGGAAAAAAGTAGACATAAAATAAAGTTGAACAAATCCTGAGATACCATACTAAGATTTTTAAATATTAGACTATGCCCTTAAAAGCCAGTTTTAAAACAAAAGGGATGGGCAATATTAGTAGTAATCAAGATAGCTTCTCTTCATCTTAATAGTATTAATCTCATCAGTCCGAACAAAAAGAAAAAACTATTCCATTTTTTAAAAACTCCTATACAGATTCTAATCATAGTTTAATGTCCAAGAACTCACTTCTAGGAAATTTCTACAAACTGAAATATCTGGATCAAGCACCTCTTTTTCAGTTCTCTAGAAAGATAATTAAATAAGAGTATATAGCCAAAATATATGTCTAAAAAAGAGTAAAACATAAAACCATAACAGAAAACCTCCTTGTTCAATTTGGCAATTATGATAGAACTACTAACAAATGGATTTGCTACTAGACTCCTAAGATTAAAAAAAAAAAAAGAAAGAAACGTGACAGTTTTTCATTTTCTATAAATTACTTAATAGCCCATAAGAGAAAGATTATTAGCCTCATATTTTTCTTATGAGAATAATACAACTAAAATAAGTTTTAAAAAACAGTTAAGAACTTTTCATTAATTTAGAAATATTCTTTTTCTCAATTTTCAGATGGAGTTCATTACATATGCCCAAAGTTAAAGGACATGCTAATATCATAATACATATAAAAATTAAGCCAATGTAAAGTGTAATCAAGTCGAATTTTTTAAATTATAAGGTTCATCATTCAGCTCCCTAAGTCTCAAAATAAGAAACATGCATCTATTGTTTTCCTCATTCCATGCACTGACATACAGAAAAAAAATCTCACTAAGACAATGTCACTAAAAAATGGGTTTTCACATAAATCTATTCCATCTGTCTCAAGAATTTAAAGTCACAGCCCTATGTTCTGATCTTTTCATTTAAGAACAGGTATCTTCTGATACTCTTCCAGCCTTTCTCAACTGAGGTTTCTCATGTGAATCAGTAAAACACAGAAAATTCATGGTTTCCTCAAAAGTCCCAAGAATGATACATAACCAGAATCATTCTGAATACACTCGGAGAGAAAACGTTATATTCATTGCACACATTGGATAGACAGGAGTGTTCAATTCTCTACAGAGATCTAGTTGGGAAAGACTGCCCAAAGTTCCTCACACTATCCTGTCTTCCAAACCCAAATGCACTAGAACTATAAGCACATAAACCTAAAATTTAGACTTAAAAAAAAATGCTTTACCTCCAACTTCCATCAACTAGATCTTTTTCACTTGCTAATTTATTATGAATTAAAAGCATGGGTGTCAACTGTTTGCTCTGGTCTAAAGGGAAGTATTAAACAAAATAAACCCATGCAAATATACTTTTTGTCAAAGTGAAGTATAAGCCCTTTAAAATGCAGTAATCAATATATTAAGTAAATAATTAATTTGACAAAACCTTCCCTATTTCCTTTTACATACTCATATCTTTTGATAATTAACACTGCTAAATGCAAATTTTTATTTTAAAAAGAAAAAAAAATTTAAAACCAGTAACAGTCCTTATCTTCAATTCTCTGGAAACTGCTTTACAGCACCTTCAGCTGTGTTGTAATCAAGGCACAGTAAGGACACCACCAATTCTTTTTATCAAAAACAAGATTTTAAAGATGGCCCAACTGTAGGAAAACAACTGATATTTTCATTTACACAGCAAATATTATCATAAATAGGTAATTAAAAAGTTAGCCACTCCTTATTAAAGTAGAAAGCGGTATTAAAAAGGTGGGAAAACTAAACACGACATCTTTAACTTATTCTAGTGTGAATGCTGATAGAAAACCAGAACAGATATATGTTCTTACTGAATATTCTATTTTACCAACTTTCTACTCAAAGTAATTACATTTATAAACACATGAGTAAAGAAGCTATAAAAATGGAGGGGATAAGTGTTTTCCCTGTTCTGTGCTCAGTTGCATCAGGAAAATTATGCAATTATATGGGAATACTTATCGTCTATGTGTTTCTTTCTTTTCATAAAGGAGGGAGGAAAGGTGGTCTTGATTCAGCATAAAACAAAGAGGCAGAATTCATTTTCCTCAGATAAAGCGCACCCTTTCTTCCGTAAGCAGTTTCCTACTAATTTTTTTTTCCCCACAAGTGACTTTTCCTTAACCATAGTCAATACTGCTCTTCAAAAGAACCTAGCCAATTACTGCCCCCTTGTAGGCAAAGTTGTGATAATTTTTAAACGCTCTCCTAAAGAAACTGCTTAGGATTATTTAAATTTCTAAATTAGGCAGGGCTGACATTAACCATTATGCAAAGTAGCAATTCACTGAGGTTAAAAAAAAAAACCACTTTCAATCAACACATGCATCCAATTAACGTATATGTGCTAGGTGAGCCCATTTAGAGACTTAGGGATCCCCGATTTTATTTAAAAGTCGGTCCAATGGAAATGATAACTTCCTTCTTTTTCAAATACTCAAACGTCCATTTGAGGCCCTCGACTTTTGGCTGCTCCCCACTCGGTCCCCAGACACAACTACATTTAGCAGCGGGTCTCCGCCTGACTTCCTGGTATTAAAAGCCACAACCACGAGGGCTGTTTCGTCAGCTTGTTTTAAAACAATACTAGCTCCATTCTCCTCACTGGGGGTGGGTGGGGAGGGAACTTTCCCTACAGAGGAGCCGCTACCACCCAGGAAAGAGTCCTCACGAGGTTTAAAAACCAGGCGTCTGAGCCGCCCCGGCACCGCAGGGGTTAAGTGCAACTCGGGGGGCAGGACGGGCTGGGGTCGAGCCCCGAGCGCCAAGGCTGAAGGAGAAAAGGAGAAGGGTAAAAATAACCGGCAGCCGTGACCCACGTGCAGCTGCGCAAGGCAGACGGGAGGGCCGGGCGCCGAGCGCGGGGAAGGGGCCGTACCTCCAAACATGTGCGGCGAGAGGTGAGCTGGGAGGGAGCCGATCACCAGGCGCGGCCCGCCGGGGCCCCCGCCCGCCGGCCGGTCCCTGCCGCCGCCGCCGTCCTCGGGGCTGCTGTGCACAGAGTCCTGCGAGCCGTACGGACCGCTGCTGCTGTTGGGGATGCTGAAGGAGGACTGCGCGGCTCGGGCCCCCGACGCCACGCTCCCCACGGCCCCGCCGAGGGAGCGGCTGCGCGGGGCTGCCGAGGCCGCCGCTGCGCCGCCCGATGCGCTGGGCTGATGTGCACTAGGCACCTGAGCCGGAAACCTGCCAGCGGCCGCCTCCCGAGCCCCGCCGCCGCTGCCCGCGGTCTCATTGGCCCCTCCGCTGCTGCTGGAAGGTAGATCCGAGCCTGAGTACGCACGGGTACGGCCGTTAGCGGCGGCCGGGCCGCTCTGCTTGGCGCCCATGTCCGCCCTGCCCCGGGCCGGGCCCGCGCGTAGGGCCCCGAGCGCCGGGAGGGAGGGAGCGAGCCGAGGAGCGAGAGGGCAGGGCCGAAACGCCGCGGCCGGCCCCCTGGGGCCCCCGCACGTCCAGGGCCACCGCCCGGCGCCCCGAGGGGCGGTCGGCGCGCGGCGCGCTTTTCTCCTCGGGGCGGCGGGCGAGGCCGGCGACCTGACTGGGCGCAGGAGGTGAGGTGACAGGGAGGAGGGCCTGGTTCGGCCGCGGCGGGCGCCGCTCGCTGGATCCGGCGCAGGAGGTGGCTCAGGTGACGGTGCGGCGGCCGCTGGTTTCGGTTCTGGTGCGCCACGACGGGCCGCTGCCGCTCTCTGCCACCGCGCTCTGCGCCCCCGGCCTCGGCACCGCCTCCTCCCGGGCGGTCGCCGCTACAGCCGCCATCCTCCAGCTCCCACGGCGGCTCGCGGGTGAGTGGGAGGCGCCCGCCCAGACTCCGCCGGGGCCACCTTCCCTCCTCCCCCAGCTACCCAGCTGTTATTAACCGAGAAAGAGGAAAAACGGGTGGCGCGTGAAAGGAGGAGGGAGAAGGGGCGGCGCGCGCTTCCCGGCAACCGTCGCCTCGTTCCCCCCCAGAGAAGGAGGGGCCACGCGGCGTCTGGGCCGCGGCGGTGGGGGCGCCCGGGAGGGGAGGAGGTTCCCGGGCCTCACACCGGAAGGCGGAGGAGCAGCGGGGCCTCGGGCTGCGGCCAAGCTCGTGTGTTTGGGTCGCGCGCGGTGGCCCCGCCCCCGCCCCTCGTACCGTCCAGTGGATTGGCTCGCGCCTTCCTGGCCCCGCCTCCTGTGCCAAGGCCTGCCCGTCCCAGCTCCGCCTAGCCAAGGTACAGCGGTGTGGTAGGTGCTGCCACCCGCGGACTCCGTGATGGACGGGTCGTTGGCACCGCCCTCCAGGCCAGGGCGCGCCCCCTCCTCTACAGAGGGCCTCATCCCTATTGGAGGAAAGGATCCCTCTGGGCGCCAATCAAAAGGCGGCCCCTCCTCCCGCACGTGGTCCGTGGTCGTTGGAGAATAGTGTCCCCTTCACCTTTAGCTGGTTGAATGGCTGTGTCCTGTGTCCGAGTCCATTCGGTTTGAGGGGTGTTACCGACTTCGTTGGTGTTACTCTGATTTTTTTAAAAATTTAAAAGTCAGAAGCTCAACAATGCTGCTGATAAAAGAGAAGATTGAAAACAGAAGAAAGAACTGAGAAGACTAAAGCCAGTCTGGTCTGAATTTGACTTATCCCGTGAGGGACTACAACCCAGAGGAACGCAAAATTGGAAGAAGTATGGATAATCCAGCCTGACCTTCTGTGGTAGGGTGAAAATTGAGATACAAAAGAAGCTGCACCGAATTTGAGAACTGGTACCTAGGCCCAGCATGAAACAAAGATATGTATAGAGAGCAAGTAATTTTACCTTTTTGGACTTTAGCATCCTTACCTGGAATGTTTGTTTTAAATCCCCTGGTCACCTGCAGCTTTAAAATCCTACAGTTACTCTCAAATGGAATTCAATAACATTCTCAGTGCATTCCTAGTGATGACATAGTATCTTGATGCAGAGTAGTCTAAATAGCCAGAGGACAGCCCTTTCCTTACCCTCCCATTTTGAAAATGCTTGAGGTGTTCTGTATGTGAAAATAATAGCAAATGGTATTTTTGTGCAAAGTATAAAAATAAATATCCTTCTCTTTTTTTTTCCTTTTCATATTTGCAATAAGTCATTTATGTAGTGATTT